CCCACCGCAATATCAGCACAGATATCTAATCCAAGCATCTGTTTAATATAAGGTCATAACAAGGGAAGTTCAGGAAACTTGAACTCAAAAGAAATGAGCTTTATAGTAAGCAGAGAGATAAATAACAAACCCTAAGCACGTAATCTGTAACCAAACTTGTCTTTTGGCCCGAAACTGAAGTAGCTTTCATGAATGCATCTATCTCAGGATCAGGTCTGATTCCTGCTTCTTTTTCCCGTCTTAACAGTTCTGCTAATAATTCATACCTAGTACCAACTCCCAAGCAACGTCCCGAAAAGTCCAGTATCTCTCGGACAGTCATCTCTCCAAAATTGAGATCATTCTGACTAATGTAAGCACATGTTTTTTGGGGAATAAACTCATTCGTATCATGACCACAGTATGTGATCTTCCCACTGGTTAGCTGTTGGAATTACAAACAACAACAAAGTTTTATAACAACTTTGCTGACAAAAATTCTGAGAAAACTGTAATTGATCCCATGACTTTCTAAAAGACTAAGCACAAGAGTATCTAACTAATGCATAGATCATTCCAACACACATATATAATCAATGAACCTCAACTTCTTTTTATTAATAACAAACTATAAAACTTGGTAAAACACAAAAATGATATAAAAAAGAGATCAAGGGAATACTAACTCTTAAACCCTTATCAAACTTTCCAGCTAATGCTTGCAGCAATGTAGTTTTCCCTGATCCTGGAGGTCCTAAAAGCAATGTCATTCTGGGAAAAATGGAAAAGACACCCATCAACAAACTTCAAACCAAAAAACAAAAGCCATAAGCCATTAATGGATTAGAGAGAGATATATACCTGGAAGGCTTCACTATGCCGCTGACATTCTTGAGTATGTTTAGTACTCTTTTGTTTGACGGGAAAAGCCTGAGGAACACAAGAACTTCCTGTTCAGAAAGGAAAATGTATCAGTGCCCACATTTTTTGAGAAATAATTATATAAAATATATGAGTGAGAAAATAGAAGAGACTACCTCTACTACATTCATGGAAGAATTCAGCAGAGTGGGAAGTGCTCTGTTTCCAATGTATGCTTCTCCCTCTATTGATAAATTCTCATACCGGATTTCAATCTTTGGAACCTCAACGCCCACCCTATTCCATTAAACAAATTATTAAATTATTACATTTTGTTTGGTTAAGTTCTATTAAATTTTTATTCAATTTATATATCTTCATGTTTTGAACATAAATTTACAAACTTTATACATAATGAAACCAATTGATGCCTTCAATTTCGTTCTGTTAAATTTTGGCTTTTCACTTGTGTTCTTATTCTTTTTCCATATAAATAAAATTTGAACCATACTCGAACTTTGAAATATACATTAAAATAAAAAAATTACAAATCATTCATAGAATATTATATTAAAAGTATTATAAAATTTATACTACTTAAGATGGAGAAATAAGATCTCTCTTGGGATATACCTTAAGAGCTAACTTGTACTTAAAATTAAAGAGCTCTTACTATTATTGATATAAATTTATTAAGAAATATTTCCAATTATAAAACAATTAAAAATATATATTTTCTTAATTTTTAGCAGTATAAAATTAGATAGTATTAAAAAAATATAATATTTATCTATGGGATTCATTATATTTTTACCCTCACAATTTAATTTAATTATACTTCAAGCACATAAAATGTTTGAATTTTTATTTATTTAACTTAAATGGTAAAATTTTTTAATTTTTTATTTTACTATAACTCTTATGAATTAAAAATAAAATTTTTTTATACATTTTAAATCCAAAATTTTCGTTGCCTATAAAATTAATAAATTTAAACTAGCTATAGAAAAAGAAATAAAGAGAATTCAAACCTATCAATTCGATCTCTAATCTTACGAAGCAATTTTTCATTGTCCTCTTCGATGATTTTGAGTAAACTCTCCATGATAAGTATCTTGTTTCGAATACCAAGATTGACGGCATCAAATTCTTCGTAATTAACCTTACCATTATCCGAAACATGTTTTAGTCTCCCTTTCCTCATTCGATCATATGTTGGAAGTCGTTCTATTGCCGCCCATGTCAACTCCTCCTCATCATCTTCTCTCTCGTTATTCTCGAAAACATTTGTTGGGTCACTCGAAATCTCCCCAAGATGTATCGAAGTCCAACTATTTTTACTTGAAGAGGAAAAGGAAAGACTTGCTCGTCGACTCAGTGAGGGTCGACTCAGTGTTCTTGCGAGATTGTCTCCCGCCATTATCGAATGTGTGACGTAAACTAGAAGTGTTCTTAGCTTGAGACAATGTAAAATCGAAAAAGTAAAATGATAAAAATGAGAATTTATAATATCACATGAATGTAATCTTCTGTATTATAATTTTTCTATTCTTTACAGCCAGCAAAAAGAAAAGAGAGAAGAAATCAAATCCAAGAAATCCGATTTTTCTTGACTTTTTTAGTTATTTTTTTCTTTTAAGGATCGCATTTGATTTCATATAATATGATCTCAAAAAATCTATTTAATTTAATCTTTTTGGCTAACTCCCATTTTTTTTTCTATATGTATTATATGAATCTCCACTTCAAATCTGTAATTACCATTTTATCCTTAAAAAAATAAGGATATATATGTTTAAATATATATTTATAATTTTTTATTAACAATTTATTTAATCAAAAATAATAACATGTTCAACTTGGTTTTCACGTGATAAATCCGTTAATGATATTAATAATATTTAAAAGACAATAATTAATATTTATATATTTTTGAAAATAAAAAGACTAAAAGATTGAAAAAAAAAAAAAACATTAGTAGAGATAATAATTTAAATATTTAAAAATATGATATAAATCAATTTAGTATTTGGGTTGGTATTTTTTTTGTAATTATCACCCGTTATATTTACTAGTCTATTTTTATTTAATAAATAAAATAATTTAAAATAGTGAACTTAATAGAAAAGTGAAGTTTTTAATTAAGATAATTGCACTAACTATAAATATAATGTCGGAAAAAAATCGATTTTATATCACTCTTCGATTCGAATTAGCAAAAACAATGTCTCCTTGCATAATATGAATTTCAAACATTAATTATCTGAATGTGAATGAGTAGAATGGTTTTTTCTTTCTATTTGAGAGACTTTCTTGCTAAATATTTACATAAGATTTGTATATATATATATATATGTATGTACATACAAGTGTAAAATAGTTTAAATTATAAGGGGTGCAAAGTAATTACATGAACATAGCGGTCATAGGTTTTACACATATCCACCCAATAAACTACAATTTTTCTTACTCGCTAACGTACCCATTGATCATCCCCAACTCAAGAACTCCAAATTCTGTAATATTGACTCGATTTTTGTGACTACATTCTGAAAGTGAGTATTTACGATATATGTGGGAAATTATTTGATACGTTTATGATCATTCACTCCATAGAAACTGCCACTAAAATACATGAATCAAAGACGTAGAAAAATTTTATTGTATAAATTTCGATTAGTTTTTACATGTAAAATATATAAAATATATGAATATGATGAGAATTATATAGATTTTTGGACCAAATACATACAAATTTTGAGTTATGGAGAAACAACAAAATTGTCTGGTGTACAAATGTCACTGTGTAGAGAATTATTTCAATATGGTTGGAAGAACTCATCTTCTTTGGAAGTTGAGGTACTTGATGCCAAATATAAAGACAAACAAAAAGAGGAGAATAAATCCTAGATGGGCTGCAGCAACATATCCAAGGAAGTCATATTCAAATCCCAAGAATTTCTTCAAGTAATCTTTTACTGTGATAAAACCTTCTCCAAGAACAAATACGTTGTCAAGCTTTCGGCCAGCTTGGGATGTTATAAGACCATATAGTGTCCAAGCCACTGGAGATCCCCAGTAATACCATCTCCACCATATTGGTATTTGCTGCAAAAACATAATCAAATGTTAAAGAAGTTCAGTCTTCAATAAGAAGTGACTTCTTTTTAATCCTAAAGGCAAATCTCTTAATTTGTATGCGCGTGTGTATATATACGCAAACATTTAGTATTTGGGTTAAATGAGTAGGGTATTGAATCACACGTACCATCCTAGGAATGAGGAAGCCGGAGAAGAGATTCCAGAAGGTGAGGAAGAAGGACATAACAATGGCAGCAATTTGATGGTTTGGAGTAAGGGAAATAACCATCATGCCATAAAGTGTGAAGTACATAAAGCTCATGAACAAGAAGAAGTAAAACCATAAGAACTTTTCAATCTCCCAGTTGAATCCAATCATCGAATAAAGCAATAGAGAATAGACAAAAGTTTGAATCAGAACACAGATTATCTCTATGGCAACCTGCGAAGGGATGAAATAATTAGGTTGGTTTATATTTATAGTCTTGTATATTTTATCACAATGGATTTCGCCAATGAAGAAAGTTGAGGCTTTCTTTACCTGAGCAAATGCATAAGGTAACTCTGAGTACATCCCAGCAGCTCGTTCACGATAAAAGACTGTTCGTTCAGTTGCCACCACAGGCTGCACGGCACTAGTGTTGGTGGCTCCAAGGAAAAATACAGCACAATACATAGCTCCCATGAAATTTGCTAGGTCTTGTTGTGTTTCTCTGTTTACACAAAATATTGTAGTTACCTTAATACAAAATGGGTTCAATATCTTTAGTTACAATGATAAAGATCCACATGAAAAAAATATGTGATGAATGAGTTTAATACTAAAAAATGGAAGGCTTAAAAATTTTTACTTACGTTTTTTCTCCTTTGTTCCAGAAAATAAGTCCAAAAATAATACCAACGAGAACTGTCAATGTGAATCTAATGGCATTGTATTGAGCGTTTCTCCAGTAAGACTTTTGTTGTTTCCAGAAGCAAGCTTTACATTGAGTCAGATAATCTTGAGAGTATTTGGTAGGAAAATAAAGGTCCTTGGATCCTGGTATTGGAGTGCTTAGCTCTTTAATAATCTCTTGATTCTTCCTGGTAAAAATAAATCATCAACAAAATTAACCTTAAAGAAAATACCCAACTCTATACAGGAGTTCTGTCACACGAAAAGACAGTCATAATTTGAAGTTTCAATTACTGATAAAGTTCAGATTTGGTGTAAACTTCAGCAAAATCTATATTAGTCTGAGCCTCAGCATCACTTGAAGTAACTTCCAGCATCCAAGTTGCAGGATTGTAGCCCTCTTTGATCTTTGGAACTCCAGGAATAGCCTGCAATACATCCATCCTTTATAAATACAAACCCGGAATCTGAAAGATGAAGTCTTTATGGAAAAGGAACGTTGTTCCAACAAAAAAAGCATGAAGAAGAAACAGAACTTACTTCAAAGTATTCTATAAGCTTGTGGGAAAGACGACCAAGGGGCCCAGCATAAATGACTTGTCCTCCCCTCTTCATCAATAGTAGCTATAGGAAAAGATGAATCAGATAAGACAACAACAAGATGATTCTATGATAAGAAAGGAACTAGAAAGGTATCAATAACCAACTAGTAAAAATATCGAAAGCTCTTTGAATACCTCATCGAAGGCTTCAAATATGTCTATGCTTGGCTGGTGAATTGTGCAAACAACAGTTCGACCAGTATCCACTGTGTTTCTCACAGTACGCATAACAATTGCAGCAGCTCTAGCATCAAGCCCTGAGGTTGGCTCATCCATGAAAATAATAGAAGGATTTGCCACCAATTCTACGGCAATAGTGAGTCGTTTCCGCTGCTCAGTGGACAAGCCAGCAACCCCTGGAATACCAACTATAGAATTTCTCAATGGGTTTAGCTCAACCAACTCCATTATTTCTTCAACAAACATCTGTAACGCAATTTATCATTACATTAGAAATCAACATTATTTCAATAAACTTCGTTATACTAGGAATACAGAAACTAGCAAATAAGATGTTCTCCTAAATAAAACTTCTGAGGTGCCAAATAACATGCCTTCCGTGTTTTTGCTGTAATATCCTTCGCAAGACGCAACCAGGCGGAATAAAAGGAGAGATTCATAAACAGTGACATGTGGAGAGTGAATATCATTCTGTTCACAGTAACCGCTAATTCTAGCAAAAGTTGCTTGGTTCTTTGGGAAACCAGAAATATTAATTTCTCCTTCAATGTATCCTTCAGTTTTCCTTCCAGCAAGAACATCCATTAATGTAGTCTTTCCAGCGCCACTAACACCAACTAGTGCTGTCAAAACACCAGGCTTAAATGCACCACTGACATCATTTAACAGTTGGAGACGACTCTCATTAATTCCTTGTTTCTTCATTTCCTAAAGAACAACCAAACGTTACCAGAATTAATTACTTCATCTAGAGTAAAGTTTAAAAAATCTCAAATAGCTGCAATTCCTTCCTGTTGAATGTCTATTCAGGCTTTTCTGAAGTTCAGATGTCTGACTAATTATTTCTTTCAAAACTTGGAATGTAAGAATTTAAGGTTTTTGCATTCAAGAATACTTTAATTAAGGCAAGAAAATACAATGGAGAGTTATCATACTTCATTAGATAATTAACTAGTCTAGTTAATGCTGGATTGCTAAACCAATACTCTAACATACACTTTCTATTTAAGTGCTTAGACTTTATCAAAATAATGAATTAATAATGAACTTGTATCAATTTAACTATATGTGACATTTCAGAAGGGACTTACAGCAGGCATATCAACATAGTAATTCACATGATTAAAAGCGAGCGAAAATGGTTTAAAAGGCAACACCATTCCTCGTTTCACAGCTGCTGACTCTGTCATGCCAACACCTGCGAACATTCACATATTTTACACACATATCAGAAAAACTATGCATGCCCATTTTCTATTTCTAGGTTTTTTTACCAAATTTCTAAACACTTCTTCCTATAATCAATTTCCAAAGCATTTCTGCTCACATTTTTCTTTGCAAGATCAATTAGGGACATGCCAAACCTTCAAATGAAGTAGTGGATGCTGAACTCATTTCCCCTGCCTTTGAAGATGAGTGTTTCTTGCCCTTAGTGTGATCATTATCCTCATGCTGTTCGGTAGACTTAGAATCTACAAATGCTGCATTGTTTCTCCAAATTGTTAAAACTATAATTTTACTTTCATGCTTGAAGTGGAGAGCGATATGAGAAAAGAAGAGCTTACGATCCAAATATGTCAATGCAGTGATAAAGCAGAGATTGAAAATGACAGAAAAGCCCATGAGTGCTCCAACACAAATCCAATACCAATACTCTTCTGTGAACATGCCCCGGGATCTGAGAAGAGCCTTTCCAACTGTGGGTTCATCAATAAGTGTGACAGGATTAGGCTGCATTAGAAGAATAACATAGAACTCATTAGGATAACCATGGAAGAAAGGCAGTATAGAATTGCAAAGTGATTGGTTCTGTGAAGATTCTTAGGTCTTACTGTACTCCATCTCCCATCAAGAAATTCATTGATAACTATAGCATTCTGTCCATAAGACATCGGAGAAGCGTAATAACCCCATATCATCCACTTTGGGATATCATCTACAAAAAAAAAAAAAAAAGAATTGGCTGATTAGTCATCCTAGCTTGAAGTGGGTTCAAAAGATCCTCCGCATAGAGTTTTCGCTATCGTTTGTATAGATTACCATACATGTAGTACCAAGCAGGGGATTGAGCAAAAACGAGTGAATAATTAGGAACACCAAAATACACAAAGGATTAGTAATGAAGATTGCATACAGAAATTTTTGAATTTAGAAGAATGTTAATTGGGCTTTAAGTTAGTAGAAATGATAGATAGTACTCCCCATGATTCCGATGCAGAGTATGCTCCTATCACCGATTAAAGCAATGACTAGTAGAAACGAAATAATCATTTATTATTTTAATCCACCAACTTTTTTACCTTTTTTCAGAAAGAAAAATAGGAACAAAAAAAAAAAATCTTTTTTATTTTAGTCTTTCTTTCATATATTTCAAAAAATCAAATTTGTGTCATAAGTCATGAACTAATAGAATGTCTAATTCTTTTTCGTAATCGAAAACGATGAGCTGAAATACTTATTGATATTTCTACAATGAGTATTTTATTGAAGGATTAAGTTATTACTCAACAAATCAAAATGGAACTTTTTAAGGGATGAGATGAATTCATAAGTACTTTTTTATTATAGCTATAGCAGACAGAATTCCATTGGTATAATTAGGGGTCTTTCGATAGATTTTGATTTCATCTATTCTACAACCGTATCAAGATAAATAATGGATTCTTACATTTGCTCTCATGTAAAAACATCCACAACTACAGTTTAGTATCCATAACCAATAGATAGGAACTCTGCAAACATTTTTTGTTGATATTCAGAGTTGTTAGGAATTATCAACTTGTGCTCAAAAGAAGAATAAATGGCTTAAATCTAGCTAACCTTTGGCAATAATGAATCCACCAAGGACAAAAACCAGCAGCAACGTAAATGTACCAAGTGTGTTTGCTACAATCTGTGTTCTCCCAAGTGCAGCAATGAAACGGAAAAGAGAGAGAGCCATCTGATGTATGCCAAAGAATGCCAAAAATTGACGAAAGAACCTGAAACATTTTTTTTATTGGTTGGTAATACAGTAACACATTGGTATAACTCAAAAAATGTTCGCAAAATTATGGCAAAGTTTGTCATTTCTCAGGGAGGTAAGACATATATAAGCATACCTACTAGCAGCAGGAGCAAACCCTATAGTGTAATATGTGAGAATAATCCAGATTGCCGACTCCATTAAAGAGAGAGGAATCCTGAGGAGCCAAATTGGCAAAGCGAAGGCCCATGCAGGATAGAAAAGGAAATCTCTCTGCTTGTAAAATACAGGAAGCCTTAATATAGTCAATGCAAGCTCAGCCATCCCATTAAACATAACATTAATAAGACTGAAGAATAATGCACCATAAAATTTTCCTCCATCTTGTATATGACCGGCAGGCATTTGTGTTCTTATAAACACTGTCATGGCAATCAGTGACGATATGGTGATCTGGACTGTCTTGAATATGTACACAAAACTGTTGCGCTTCATCAATAGCAACTCTCTTGCAAAGCATGCCCTTAAGAGTTCCCAGTTTGAAAGTGCATATTTATCTTTCACCAATGCAGCAGGGTGAGCTTTGGATCTATCATATGGAACTTTAAGATCTTCAGAAAGCTTCCGGCCAATATCAAAAGAATCAAAATGATTCACAAACTCTGGTACAGAAACATATATGTAAGGTTGTTCCTTTCTGCTCCAGTATTGTTGTTGGTCTTTCTTGGAAGTCACCTCTTGCAGGAAATCTGCAACTCCTTTCCTTTCAGGACATTTGAAGCCTACACTCTCAAAGAATTCGAGTACATTCTCTCGTGGACCTTGATATAATATCTGACCCTCAGAAAGCAAAATGATATCATCGAAAAGTTCATAGGTTTCAGGTGCAGGTTGCAGAAGAGATATTATCATGGTGACATCCATGATATGAACCATTTGCCTCATATACCTTACAATCTGGAAAGTGGTGGAACTATCCAGACCCGTGGATATCTCGTCCATGAAAAAGGCTTTAGCTGGTCCAACCAACATTTCTCCTACATTTTTTGCAAATAACACATTTCAGATTGTTCTTACTTGTAAAACTAGCAAGAAGAGGACTTTTCGAACAAAAGAATAGTACACAAATCCGAGATCTATAGTTAACATCATTAGTTAGAGCTCGGTTATACCATCCAAAAGATTCAATTTGAGAAATAAGATGCTATTCATAAAGGAAATTGGATTTTCAACCTAACTGTCTCTGGAAACAATTATTCATACCTGTGGTGACACGTCTTTTTTGCCCACCTGATATGCCCCTTCTCATGTCATCACCAACCAAAATATCAGCACAAATATCTAATCCCAGCATCTGTTACCGGACGTTAATAAGAGAAAATCAGGAAACTTTAAGCTCAAAATAAATCAGCTGCATAGCAATGAGAAAAAGATAGGCAACATACCCTGAGCACATAATCTGTTATCAGAGTGGTTTTTTGGCCTGCTATTGCAGTAGCTTTCATGTACGCATCTATATCAGGATCAGGTTTGATTCTTGCTTCTTTTTCCCTTCTTAACAACTCTGCTAACAGTTCATACCTAGTGCCAACTCCCAAGCAACGTCCCGAGAAGTCCAGTGTCTCCCTGACAGTCATCTCTCCATGGTGAAGATTATGCTGGCTGATATAAGCACATGTTCTTTCGGGAATAAACTCATTCAGCTCATGACCACAATAAGTGATATCCCCTGAGACTTTCTGAATCAAACAGCGATGAATTTTCTCAATCAGACATTCATTATAAAATCGAGAGTTCTGTTCTGATGACAAAACCCATGAAGAAAATACTGAGAAAGTTACATAAATAATGACAAAATTTTTTAATGAACATGAGTTGCTAAAAGGGTAAGTAAGAGATGATCTGCATAATGCATAGATCACTTGCAATACGTGTAATTGATCAACATCAAGTATGAATTAATAACGTTATTTAGGCATCAAAAACCATGTAGCATCTGTTGCTTCTTGTTGCCGCTAATATACCCTAAAAACTTAGTAAATATACAGAAATGATAAAAAGGTGAAGGGATTAATCACAGACCCTTAACCCCTTGCCAAGCTTTCCAGCCAGTGCTTCCAGCAATGTAGTTTTTCCTGATCCTGGAGGTCCTAAGAGCAACGTCATTCTAGGAAGAGGAGAAGACACCAAAAATGAATGGGAAATAGAATCAGTCATCCATTGATGTTTCATGTTCCTTAGTGTTTTCAATCAAATAAATATACCTTGAGGGCTTCACTATGCCATTCACATTCTTGAGTATGTTGACAAATTGTCGACTTGATTGGAAAAGCCCAAGTACTTTCAGAAAAGATACAAGAGCATCCTGTTCATCAAAATTAAGTGAAAAAACTGAATGAATTTTTAACAATACAAGGTACCAAGTAAATGCAAATAACTTCACCTAAAAGCATCAACCACACATTGGAAACTAAGGAAGAGTAAGGAAAAACAGAACACAATACCTCTATTGCATTCAAAGAAGCATTCACCAGATTTGGAACTGTTCTGGTTCGACTATAAACCTCTCCCACAATCGATAAATTCTTGAACCGGATTTCAATCTTGGGTACCTCAATTCCCACCCTATACAGTCATAATCATCCATTTAACTCTCAGAATAGAGCAAAGAAAGCTAATTTGCAGGGACTAGAAATAGCACAAAATCTAATTAGAATTATATAATTTTCATTCACACCACCTCTCATCTATCTTGTGTTACATATTTTCATGCCCTGGAATTAGTAATTAAGAACCAAACGAGAATACTTACATATCACTGCGTTCTCTAATCTTAAGAAGAAACTTTTCATTATCCTCCTCCATTATCTTGAGCACACTATCCATAATACGTTTCTTGTCTTGCACACCAAGATTAACAACATCAATATCTCGATAATCGACGTTGCCGTTATCTAAAACTTGCATCAGAACCCCTTTCTTTAACCGATCATAAGTGGGAAGCCTTTCTATTGCCGCCCATATTAGCTCCTCATCATCATTTTCTCTCCCACTTCTCTGGAAAACATCTGCTTGGGTATTCAAAACTTCCCTGATACTCGCCGACGCCCAACTCCTCCTGCTTGACGATGAAAAACTCATTCTCCGGCTCAATGACCGACTACTCAGTATCTTGGCAAGATCTTCTTCACCCATGATTCACTGCCGTAAATATATCACAATTCTTATTACCTACACACCTGGTTTCTTGCACATGAAACTGAATGAACGAGAAAAACAAAGGAGACGAAAGTAAGAATCAAAACTCTGTTGAATCACAGGTATTTGGAATTCGTTTATAGAATATAGGAGAAATATAAGTGTGTTTGAAAAACCCAAAAAGGAAAAGAAAAAAAAAAAAAAAAGAAAGAAAAGAATAAATTTGTGGTTGACGTACAGGAGTTTGGCTGGCAATGGGCATGAACATGAATGACGAAACTAATATATAGGGGGAGATGGCATGGTAGTCACAGAGAAAGGGCGTTGTGGAGTTTGATGAATTAATTTCATGGATGTTTTAATTTGCTGTTGTTTATTTGTTTTCTATATAAATTATCTGTAATTATATTGTTCAATATTTCCATTTTTGTGTATATATTTTCCATGTATTATATAAGTATATATCTGTTTACAGTTATATCTCATCTTGAATTCTTATATTTCTAGAAGATATACGTTAATAATTATAAATTAATTGGAATGTAAGTAAATTAAAACTAGTAATATTTCAACTTAATATTACAAGAAATCTTCAAGTTCTACGTATTACAATGTTCAAAAACAGAAACACTTCCAACGTTCTGGGAAGTCAGCAATGTGATCAAAGGATTCTAATTGATGACAAGTTTATTTTTGGAATATTACAATTTAATATTTATTTCTTTTTTCTTTTTTTTTTTTTGCTAAAACTGTAATATATATATATACACACACACACACACACACATATAGTAAATGCCAAATGGGTAGTGGAGCTTGAAGCTATTTACAGCGAAAATGAATCCACATTTTCAGAAAATACCCCCAATATTTAAATAATTTTTTCTTCATGAAATTTCAAGTAATACAAAGGTTTGACTCTTCTTTTATATATGTATATACATATATGTATATGTATATATATATATTATATTCTCTGAGACCTTTATCTCCTGTTGTGTTGCAGTCAAACAGGGAGGAAACCAATCATATACGTAATTTATCCTAATTAAATTAATTAGACTTCAATTTACTGGTAATAAGGTTTATTAGTTGTAGAAGGAGATATTGGATTATACTTAATTAATTATCCCCGAAGTCCGAATTATAATTAAAAAACTTTTTAAAATATCATAAAAATATATAATTAAGACAAAAAAAAAAATTAGTTATTTTCTCCATTAGTAAGATATAAAAGTCCACTAGGGTAGATTTCTTTAAATGTTGCTCTTTAATCCATTTGTATTATATTTTATTTGAATTGACTTTCATTAATCAATAATTTATGAATATTTTACTATTTAGAAATATTATCTAAATTTCATCTTATACATTCAAATTCAAAGTAAAATTTGATAAATATTTTTAGATAAAATTAATATTATATGAGTATTAACTTCTTTTTATTTAAAAAAAATTATTATTTGCTAAAATGTTTTTGTCAAATTTAATTTATTTTCTTTACCCATAATATTTTGTCGACAACTGTTTTTGGCTTTAGAGTTTATGTTGGGATTTTTTTTATAAGGAAAAAAAATTAAATTTTTGTCGACTTATTCCACTAAAATTAACAAATTAAAGTATTTTTAAATAAATTTATGTTAAATTTAAATTTTTTAAAAATAATTTAATATTATAAATAAATATAAATCAAATTTATTAAAAATAAATTTAAATTAATAAATAATATAATTTTTAATTTTTAATTTATTTTTTCATCAATTAGTTTTTTTATTTATTTTTTTTAATTTTTGTATGTTTTAGTTAATATTTTAATTCGGTATTTAAGAAGTTAGATGCTTTATAATGGATAAGGGTGTTTAGGGTCAAATGTACAATTAATTATGTGACAATATTGTGTATAAAATAATTTATCAAATTAAATATTTTTCCATTTAAAAAATTAAAATTGCATCAATAGATAAGATCTCAACAAGAAAGAAAGAAAAAAATAAAATAAAAAATAAAAAAATCACAATAATGGACCCTTGAATTTACGTACCAAAAAATGTGTGAAGTACATGGATGAAAGGAACAGTAGATGACTTGTCTGCTCCAATCAACAGGGGATCTAAATTTCAAGGTAGTTATGGAGGCCAATAAATGCCACCGTCTACATTTAACACCTAATCACTTGTAGCTGTCCACTGAAACCTCATTCACAAAATTCATTAAATCCTGAACTTTAATTATTTGAATTGTCAACTTCAAGAACAAAATTCATTAAAACCCAAAATTTGATCATTTGAATTGTGGGACTTAAAGTTTGGTTGTGAAGATTTTGCAAATAGGATTTTGAATCTCTTCAACCTTAGCTTGTAAGTAAACTTGGGTGTGCAGAATCAGACCAAAATATTAGTTCAAACCAGCCAAACTGGTTCGGAGAGACTGGTTCGATTAAACCGTGCTTAATTCGGTAACATTGGTTCGATCAAGTCCACATCTTATATTTCTAATGGAGAAGAAAATAAATTTTGTACAACAAAATAAATTAGGAGGGTCATAACTCAAATTACAAAATTTTGTCACCAATAATCTCTGCATGAGCATTGGCCGGCCATGAACCGATGGAACCTGTTGTTGTCTCTTATGATGATTTCTCTCTCAAAACTACCACAGACAAACTTGAAGAAACTATGGCAATCTCCGCAGATTCTCAAATTTTTGTTGATTCTTATGGGTACTGCAGGAGGAAGAGCGACTAAGCCGAATGCAAGTGCAATCTTCTCGCTGTGGTGCCTGACTTCTGTTAATTTTTCTTCTTCTTCCAAGTCATACAGTGCAAACTTAGTGTCTGGTACGTACCCAGCTGCCTCCATTTTTCTCCTCATCTCATCCAACATTGCTTGAATCTCCGAGTTCCTCTCATGTGAAGTATCCTTTGCTTGGAACACATGAATCTTATTCTTCACTGCTATCCAACTGCAACCTGCACCCTTTTTTATGCCAACATCTTTCATCTCAACTCTCACTAGATTTGCTTCCTCCCACCTGCATCAATCCTCTATTTGGTAAATATATACATAAACTTTCTTCATTAATATGCTCAAATATGCTAAACACTAATGAGGTCTCTATCAATTCTTATCTTTTCAAATTTTAATGACAGTTATGTTCCTATTATCAAGTGACTCCATTACAGATTATTGCCTGATGCAAAGCTTAGAACAGTTAAAAAAAAAATTTATTTCTCTGGGAATTTGTTTCACCGTAAGCATAGTCATATTCCAAGAGGCAAAAGCAACTACTGCTATTGTTCTAAAGTATCTGTTTATGCACATGGATTTAATCGATATTAAACAAATGATGGGAATTTCAAGAAATAGTGAGGTTGTAACAAAATTGTCCAACTTCTTGAGTTTTTAGGTGGGAAAAAAAGAGACAGAGATGTCTTTACCTTCCAGCAGCTGCAAACATATTTGAAAGCAGCACATGGTTGCCCGAATCTTTGGGATCAAGTTTAAATAGGTTTTCAGCTGCTATTGTTCCTAATTCTGGCTTGCTATACACCTTACAAGCATTTAGAAGGGCTCCCCAAACTGAAATTGTTGGTTGCATTGGCATTTTCATTATGAAATTGTATGCACTTTCTACCATCCCAGCTCGCCCTAACATGTCCACAACACAAGCATAATGCTCGGCCCCTGGTTCAATCCCATATCTAACCTGCATTGACTCAAAGATCTCCATGCCTTGTTCCACTGCCCCTGCTCTACTGCAAGCTGACAAAATACACACAAATGTCACATAATTTGGCACCAGACCAGAGATACCAGAGCCTATCTCTTCCAATAATGCTAATGCCATATCAACCTGCCCTTGGTGTGCATATCCTCCTATTATTGCATTCCAACAAACCAAGTTCTTTTCAGGCATCTCACCAAATGCTTGTTGTGAATCCTCTATGCTTCCACATTTTCCATACATATCAACTAATGCACTCCCCACAAAAATATTCCAATCAATGCAAGCCTTTACAGCAACTGCATGAACTGACCTACCCAATTCAAGGGCTGCCATTCCCGAACAAGCACTAAGAGCACTAGACATCATAAAATCTGTTGGCACAACCCCTTCCTTCCTTGTCTTTGAAAAGATCATACAAGCCTTCTCCTCCTCATGATTCTGCACATACACTGCCAATAATGAGCACCAAGAAACATCATTTCTCATCTCTATTCCATCAAAAACCATCTCAGAAAATTTAACCTCCTTACACTTCCCATAAAAGTCAATCAACCCATTGCAGACGGAGACATCAGCATCATACCCACTTCTTATCACAAACCCATGCAACTGCCTACCAAGCTCTAGGTAGAGCCCATCTGCACATGCATTCAGGAAGGCACAAAATGTTATTGAATTGGGTTCTCCGCCGGTCCTCCGCAGCTCTAAAAAGGCAACTACTGCATCCTTGGATCTTCCATCATTCACCGCATTTGATATATGCGCATTCCAAGTTGCAATGTTTCTCTCGGGCATTTCATCGAATATTTTTCTTGCATCTTCTTTTAGATCAGTTTTGCAGTACATATCAAAAGCACTGCACCCAACAAACTCGTCCCCTATTTGACCGCATTTTACTGCGAGTGCATGCAGCTGCTTTCCAGTGATGGGAAAACGGAGGGAAGCTGATGCCTTGAAGGCACAAGGGAAGGTGAAGTCATTTGGAAAGATGGACTCGCGGAGCATACTAGAGAAATGGGAGAGAGCGGAAGAGAAATGACCATTCTGAACAGAGCCGGCGATGAGAGCAGTCCAGGAGACGACAGAGCGAATGGGGGTGAGTCGGAGGATGAGTTGTGCGGAGTCGGGGAGGTCAAGTTTGGAGTACATGTTGATAAGATGGTTGGAGAGGAAGAAGGGGAAAGGGGAGTCGAGCATCTTGATGATCTTGGCATGGGCTGCCCTGCCAAGATGGGGTGAGTGAGCTAAGATGGCAGATTCGACCAGGTAGGCCAGCGAGTTGGGGCTGAGGAAGGGCATTTGCAGTGAGAGAGGTGCTGATGGTCATGGCTTGAACTTGTGCTGGCGGAAAATTTAAATAATGACGGTGGAAGAAGTAGGTATTACCTATGATTATAGAAAATGATGGAACAAGGATAGATTATGGAACTATCGAAAACTTGTGTTGCCTGATTGCTTTCCTACGAAAATACCATTTCATAAAACATAAAAAATAGATTTTGATTATTCAAGGACAAAACAAGATATGTAAACAAAGCATTGTAAGCAGATGATAAATAAAGCATGAGAAATACATTCTATATACATAAATTAGTTATATTCAGCAATTCCTAAAGATATTTTTTGATGGAGAAATTGTTTCGTTTCCAACTCTGTTCCCATTTTCATATACTTAAAAATAAAGTGGTTGGAGTTAAATAGCAAAACTACATCTCACATAAAAGTGTCACCAGCAAAGTTGGCGAGTTTATTGATACTAAAAATTTGTCTAGAAATCGGGAACATATCAATGCTACCAACCAGCAAAAACAAAACGAGTATTCCATTATTGACTTGTCCATTAGATATTTAAATATGTGAAAGTACGTATATCTAAAGCTCGGAATCCGTTAGATTACATGAGACTCAAGCCGAAAAAGCATCTTATCAGGAAATCAGTACGCTAAAATCAAACACTGCTGTTAGCCATATAATATATATATATACATAGAGAGAGAGAGAGAGAGAGAGAGAGTAGATATGAACACTAGACTGCCGACTGTGTTTATACATATATATACAGCTGTATATACACACAACATAATGAAGATGCACTAATTATATGAAGCACATGAAGATAACAATCATAGTTTACATACCTCATACTGAGAATGCGAACTTTACAAGCCCAACCATATGAATCTGCCTCCTGTTAGCAAAATATTCGAATAAAGCAAGCGCGTAAGACATCGAAGTCTAAAGAACCATGAAATCAAAGACAGAGGATACAATCTGTCATTTCACATTTGCTTTCTATTGAATGAAACTGAAAACAAAACAAATAAAATAGTAACGGAATCAAAGACGTGAAAACGCTCCCAAGCAGGAGGACCAAATTTCGCGGCTAAGGAGAGATTTAGGGTTTTGCGGGTTGGGTTGGGCCGGGGCGGGCGTCGCCGCTGACAAGGGAAGACAAAGCGTAGGCCTAAAATAGAAGTGAGATGGATTCGACTAATTGCTTGAATTGGACTTTCAAACAAAAATGCATTTTTATTTTGACCCGCTTAATTGATTTTTGAGCTCTCATCTCTTTAATCGTTATGAGGTGGAGCCCCCGACTAGAACCGGGTTAATAAATTTTTTATTTTAACTATATTTTATAAAATTATAACACATAAAATGATAAATAAATAAATATCTTTACTTTAAAAAAATCATTTAAGTTTATAAATTATAAAATTATTAAAAATTCTTTATCTATAGTAATAATTACTTATTTATAATATAATCGACTCCTAATATTTAATTCTGAATTAATTCTCAATGACAAACATGGTATCATACGGAGGTATAAAAAAAGAGAGGTGGTGGAACAAGGTAGGGCTAAATCTTTTCCGTATTTTCTTCGTTTTTAATTTTTTCCAAAAAAAAAAAAGAAAACAAAACAAACAAAAAACCTCTAGTAAAATATTTGGTGTGAGGTTATATTACAATAATACACGATATACATCAATGAGAATCTATACAGTAATATTCCATTCCAGAAAGTAGTAATCCCTCTTGATTGCAATTCCAACTCTACCATACCTACTACTACCATGAATCATCAATCCAAAAAATCAGCAGCAGCATTGCTGGGCTCGACCACTCGAGCAGCCTCTGCAATCCTAAGCGCCATCGTGGCTTTGTACATAGCCAAATCAGCATTTGCCATAAGTATCTGAGCTCGTTGTCGCTTCACAACTGCTGCTTCCACCGATCTGTCAAGTGTGGCTTTCGCTTGTTCAACTTTGGCCACGGCATTGCGCTCTTCAGCATCATGTTCGGCTGCCATTGCTGTGCATCAGATCAGGCATGTCAATAACACCATAAGACTAAGTAACACTATGGTATTACCCTATCCTTTCTGCTACAAGTTAAGAAATTCTCCACCGCATTGAGGAGGGGGCGGGTAGAGAGATGCCATTAGAAGAGAAACTGATGAGGTTAAAACCGAGTGAAATGAAGTTTCAACAGAAACTTGTCTGAGAATCGATCTTAATAAAAAAGAGTAAAAAGAGGTTTGAAACTCCCACTTGTTTGGTTAGACACAGAATTTTCATTCACAAGACAATTTGTATAATAATATTATAGATTATAGATTTCGCGGATGTCCTATTAGTTGAATAATAAAGAAACAGCAATTGAATTTAACCACACACAAAAACTCTAAGCACAAGTTAACTAAACAAATTATCAGCAAAGCAGAATTTGTGGGAGAAAATTAACTGAAAGTAGTTTGAAGCAAAATAACTAATATACCTTTCAACATACTTGGTTTTTGCCTCTTCCAATCTGGGATCCCAGTCGTTTGAATGACCTTTTCTTCCGTAGAGCAGGCTTGGGGATAACTAAAGCTTTCTTCTCCTGATGGCACTGCTACAAGAGAGATTGCATATTGTTTCAAAATCAGTAGAGCAGTTTTCAACTTTCATTAAAGAGAAAAAAAAATATAAATCAGTATTAAGAACAACCTTACCCTACACCACAAGTAAAAAATGATTGACTGAGATGAATATAAAATTTAACACAACCCCACCCCCCACCCCCAAGAAAACGTGATAATAAGGGAAGGGATGAAGAGAAATGAAAAATGCAGCAGCCTCTCTAACACATCATAACAAAAAAACAAGTATACTAAATTACATATTATGCTGGGTTACGTAAGCCCTGCTGCAAAGTCTCAAGTTCACCACAATAAAATGATTTAGCTACAATGTGTTGCCTAAGGATGCTATTTCTAAATGAGAAATCCCCCGAAATATCAACTGATGATATCAATATATTAACTGGTGATAATACACTAATATATTTCCACACAGCCTTTTATATTATAGACTGATTTAAGTTGTGATATGCTTCCTGCAGCACAACCTTTCATATTAGTTACTAAGTTGAAGAATGCCATAACTATTCAAATGCACGAAATTCAGCAGATTTATTTTGTCCAACAAGCAACTGAAAGGATTTCATATACAAGCGCATGCTAGCATATTTTCATTACTTAGGTATACTGAAAAATGAATTCAAATTTCTACAAAAAAACTGCAGATTCTATCATCATAAGCTAAAAACTTCTTTTGAAGAACCAGATGCCTTGGAAGTGATATTTTATAATGAAAAAGAATTTATTCACAAGACACCAAGGGGTAACCTCCAACTAGAGAATGACAAATAAACTTTGAATGATATATCCTCATTGTTAACCCTTTCAAACAAAAGTGAGCAGCCATGTTTGAGAAGCTTGTTTGAATAAACAGCTAGTGTAAAATTCATCAAGCACAAACAGTATTCTGAAATCAAAGTTTAGGACTTTCCCTGAGAACAAACATGACACCTACATGTTGATGCCGCTTTAAGCATGAAAGAATAGCAACACAATAGGATCTCTGAATATTTACCTGGAAAACTCTAAGAAGTGGTGATTTTTTCTGTTTCCTTCTTTTCATCCAGTAATCATAGACAGCTTCTACCACTTCACTCCCACCCAGTTCAGGGCAAAGGTTAGCAACTGCTTCCTCTTTTGTATAATCACCAGGAATATCATAAAGTGCCTTCTCAAAGGAATCAATCATCAATTCAAAATTATCCTCCAAAAGATGCTCATATGGCTCATTCACATCACAAAAACCAGCATTGAACTTTGTCAGCCATTCTTCATCTTCAGAGTCCATGTCATAAATTGCGGTCCCCTTAGCCATTGATCTAGATAATTCATCTTCATTCATTAATATGTATGAATCTGGTCTACAGAATGGGGCATCCTTCCCACCTACATAGCCAGAAACCTCTCGAACTCCAGGAACAGGAATGACTTTGGATGCAGAAGGTAATGCATTGCGTTGGAAACATTCCCTGTAAAGGTCCTTGAAAGTGTTCCAGTCCTGTCGACAGGGGAACTCAAGCTTCCAATTATCATTCCCAGTCCATATCATAGCATTCGTTAAACGGTTTGAAGTAGAAGGCCTCATAACTTTTTGTGCCTTGTGGGCATATCTAGTTAACCCATCTTTCTTGACAACAAGAAGCCACTCTCCGGAAGAGGACACTTCCAAAATAATCCTGGCTCCTTCTTCCCGTTTACATCTGTCCGACTCAGTCAACAATATGTTTGCTGAGCAGCATGACGAATCCATGTCCTGTGTCAATCCAACCGTTGAAGAACTCATTCCCTTCAAGTTAACAGCTGACTTAATCCGAGCTGAACTACTAAGGTTGCTTTTAGAGATTACAGAGGAGAACGGGACACCACTATTCCTACTTGTAATCAAATCAGATACTAAAGCTCCACCAGCCTTGTGTAGACCAAGTGTAGGATTTCTAGCCCTTCTCCTCCGAATAGAACTCCTCCTTTTACGAATATTTCGAGAACTTCCACCATTCCTGTACTGGACATTCCTACCAGTTAATTTTGAACCTCTAATAGATGGATGCAATATAACTCTGTTCCCAGAATTACTAGATTCAGGGCCCACAATCTCAACTTCACTATCAGATGCATCCAATTCTTCACATTCTTTGTCATTTGACTGGTCAGACATTAATTTATTTACAAGAGCTAATGTCTGACGGTCAGTTCGTAGGAGAATATGATGGTGCATGTGTGTAAAACAACTAGGAACTGCAGAAAAATCCACAGAAAATGACGGTAAAAAATGCCTGGCCCTAAAAAGCTTGCAGAGTCCTGTACAATTAGCAGGAGCTTCCTGAAAGAAATTGACAAAAGAAACAAGTAAAGTTAATACATCAAAATTAGATAATCAACACATCTATGAAGAGCCAAAATAACAGGATTAGTACTAAATGTTTAAAGAATTCCACCTATAACAAAAGAACATCACTTACACGCAAGAAACGAACGCCGTGCTCAGAGAAAACACCATTGATGGGCTGAGACAGGAAGAATGCAGCAAGTTCAGACAACCGCACTCCTCTCCTCCTAATATGCACCAAAACCAAACTCAAAACGCAAGAAAACCAATAAGTCATACTACAAGGACCATTAACAACAGCAACGATCACAGGAGAAACACTGAACCCACAACTCAAAACATCTCCACCCTTACTCTTTCTTCTTTGTCTACGAATATACCCAATGCCATACATTTTATCTTCTGAACATTCTGAAACGTTACCACCTCGGTGATCAACTCTCTTCCTTTTCCTTCTGTACACGATGCCGAACATCTTATCTACTTTTTTTCCATCATCCGAGACTTCAACTTTTGCTCTTTTGGATTTTTTCAATTGACATTTCTCTTCTTGTTCGTTGTGGTCAATCAATTCTTGCTTGGGATTCACTTTCTGACAGGTCCAACCACCATAAGGCTTGCACCCTGTACGATCACCACCGCCCCCACCTGGTCCATGTACGCCACCGTTTTTCACCAGGCGGTACCAGTCATCACCATCTTGGGTCCTCCTGACTTTGGCCTCGCCGCACTCGGGCCATAAGCGACGCCCTGAGCGCAGCACTCTGGCCCCGTCCACGCCCTTCACCACCCCGAACACTCTTGTCGTCCGTCTCATTCCCACGGACGGCATCGCCGTGAGGTTCAGATTTTCTTGCGCGACCACCCTTCTCCTGATCTCGCTACCCGACTCAACTCGAGTTGACTCGCTAAACCGACTCACTGTACAACTCGGGCTGACTCGTTTAACCGACTCACTGTACAACTCGCTCCGAGCTGACTCAGTATCAGAACCGTGACCTTTTTCCCCGCATCAAATGGCCTGGTAACACTCCGAATACAACGTAAATAAAACCTATGTTTTCTTAGACGAGGGAAAACCCAACATTTCCTCGGATCTTTTGTATTGTTCACTCAGTTCCTCGACTGAGACACGAATATTTCGACTCAGCGCGACTCAGACTACTTACAAAAACTCAGTAAACAGTAAAGACAAGCAAAAGGAACATCATAGTGCAAGAGGGAAGAGAAGAAAAAAAAAAAAACACCGTCGAACAAATCGGGCACAGATCAACACAGATTCATGAACTAAGACCGAAAAGAAACAAAAAGATCCATCGACTCCAAATCGAAAAACTAAAACCCGAAACAGATACAGAGAGAGAAAAAAAAAATCGTTTCAAGACAAAGATCTGTTCTCCTTACAAAGAGAGCGAGAGATGGGTTTCTGCTATCCTCTCTCTCTCTCTCTGAAGTCCGAAACTGTTGAAAGAGAGGAAGATGAAAAATCGGCGAGTTATTTGGATTCACGTATTTCTCGTTTTTGCGGAGAGAGAAAGTCTGTATTAGAGGGGAAAGAGGCCGCTAGGGTTTATGATAAATAGCAGGAAGCGGAAGAGGGAAAATATTGGGAGGGTGAAAGCTCTGCCGACTGATCGTGACCGTTGAATTAAGAAATGAACGGTTCAGATTTTATTCTGAGTATGGAAATGCTTCGATGGCTCCAAGGAGTCGCTGCTGTTTATGTTTAGAGAGAGAGATATTTTCTTTGCGTTCGCCGTAAAGTCTTGCTCCCCATGAAATGACCAAAATGGGCGTTTCGTGTGACAGGAGATCCGGACTTTCCCGGTAAATAAATTATATTGTTGGGGGCATTTCGGGTATTTTTCTAAACACAAGTAAATAATCGGTGAGTATTTCTCCGGTTAATTTGGAAGATAAATGGTAAAAATCCTGAAAGCGGTAAACAATGAAAGTGAAAAGTCACACTGTAAAAAATATGTAATAAATTAACCATAATAATTTATCCAATTATAATGAATCAAATTATAATATAGTAAACTCTTAAAATCAATTCTGAATTAAATAAATAAAAAGGGCAAGCACGACCCAGAAAGTGTGAGAATATATAATCATCTATTTTTTATTAATTAAAAGTACATAAGATTAATTATAGATTTTGTTTCTATATATTTTTTAATTATAAGTTAAAATGAAGTCATTATATTATACGGTCCATCAGCTCCTTCACGCTTTTTTAAGTTACCAATAATTTATTTTTTTTTTATCTAAAAATTTTTATTAACTTAGTAAGAAGTCCAACTAAATTGTAAATGTGATTTTAACGTTTGTAAAATATATCAATTTGCCCATCTTGTTAAAGCACTCAATCATTCATCCCTTTTAAACTTATTTATTCAATTTTTCACATTAGAGTTAAAATAGAGTTTTAATTATATATTTTCTAAATTTTCATCCTATACATAACATGATAACCAGCTTTTAAAAGTAATAATAATTTTGTAAAAAAAAAAAAAAAAAAAAATTCTTACTCAATTTAACTATTTCCGAATAAAAAAATTATAGTTTTAAATGCAATTTAATTTTTTTTCTTTCTTTGCTACAAATGAGAAAAGAAAGTTTAAAGCCGAACAAGACAATTTCAAGTAGTATGAAATTAATTTAAATATAATAAATGGTCAATTTTTAAGTAGTATAAAATTAGTTTAAATATAGTAAATGGTCAATTTTTAAGTAGCATGAACGTGAGCTAATATAGTAGAATCCACGAGATTCTCGTGAATTATTCCAGCCAAACAGTCAACGCAAGAGTTATTTTCTTTGTAAATGTGAAAAAAAAAAATCTAATTATGTTTCTTGTAAATATGAAAAAAAATCTAGTTATTTTTGTTGTAAATGTGGAAAAATTAGATTTTTCAATTGATAGTGAGTAGATCTTTAAGTTGCAATTCTATATCTAAAAATGGGATTAGTAGTTATCGCTTGACGTAGTGATAATATACTTCAACAGTAAGTTTTCAAATACCATGATTCCAAATAAGTTTGAGACCATAAAAAATGTTATAGACTTCAGCATAGAGCGAGTAGCTACTCCCCCACCAGTCCATACTGTCTCTGATAAGGCTTATAGCAATAGTAAAACTACTATTCTACTTTTAAAAAAGAAACAAAATAATTTATCTTAGTTAATTTTTAATTATATTATTTGTGCATGCTGACATAATACGTGAAATGTCAAGTTATATATATATATACCTATTCATTTTAAATTTTTCTGTGTGGTTGCTACATTGGCACAGTGTTATTATATTGGTAAATTAATTTTAACTAATTAATTAAATTAGTAAATTAATTTTTTAATTAATATTTTTACTTTGTGCTTAAGATGTAGATAAATATATCTCTATTTCTGCAATACTACCTAGTTTCTATTTATCTCCCTTTGATGTCCCTAAAGAGTTTTTGTCATATGGGAATTAAAACAAGCATCATTAAGTCCAGGAAGCTTCATTCTTTTAAATATAAAGGTATTTTGTCGCAGCTCAAGGAACTATAGGCGCCTAGATTTATGTAAAACGCTAATGTATATGGCTTAGCACCTGTAACAACGAGGATGAGACTGCAAGAGTTCATATTATTGTCATTTTAAGATTTCACACTTTCTTCAGCATGCCTTTTGACGATTAGGTCTGTGCCAACTTACATAATCAATATAGTTGGTGTCTTTCCTTTTAGGATTGAACGACAGTATTTGGCATCATCTGCTAGTTATTATGGAAGCAACAGAGCGTCTTACTTTTCAATTGTCAACCACTCAGTGTGGATAAGTTGAGACATAAAGCTTCTAGGATGATTAAGTACACATTCCAAGCCTCCAGCCTAAGATCTAACTTGTCGGACTGTCACAGCTAGAAGTAGGAAAGACTAATCAATTGGAATATGCCTCCCTAGACTGGATCAAGATCAACACATATGGGGCCCGCCATGAGAGCAATGACATTGCATGTGCGGATGTGCTGGGTAGGGATAATGTTGGACATTGGCTTGGCAGGCAGTTCAAGAAAATTAGGTCTTGCTCTATTCTCCAGGCAGAGTTATGGGGAGCCTTGGAGGGGCTCGAGCTTACTTGGAGTCTTGGATCGCATCGTGTTATCATAGAGATGGATAGTGCTCTCGTTGTTTAACTTTTGAACAAGGTGATCAATAATGAGATAGTTGACACAAATGCTAACTCTAACCTACTGTTAGCAATTAGAACTTGAGTCATGAAAGACTGAACTATAAAGATACAATGTATATATCGGGAAGGTAGCAAAGGTGCCAACTACCTGGCGAACCTGACTTATGACGGTTCTATGGGAGGCCACTCTTTACTGCATCTCCTGCTTGGGCTCCTATGCATTTTTCGCGAGAACATCATTAATGTTTCCTGTCCCAAACTGTGTAACACCCATGTTTGATTATTTTTTTAGCTGTTTTGATTTGCTCCCTCTTGCATTAAAAAAAAAAATTATGTGGTTGCAATATAGTTACCAACTTCAAGCAACTCCTTATTGATGATGACATTAAAATGACCTTAACTCCCACCCTAAAACGAAAAGAGTTGACATATTGCACAAGCACACTTATGATGATGAGATCCAATAGAGCAAGCGAAACTATGACCATGACCCCAAATGGTTGTCATTTCTATTACAATGGCCAAAACGTGTTGACAACACCCTTTTCGAGCGAGGGCGAGTGCCCAAGACCCTGTGAACAGCTCTTCGAGAAGGTTATGACTCTCAACAACCTTGAGAAACTAAATCGATTAGTAATGCTAAAGCAACACACATAAAAGCACTTTCTTCTATCAAGCGAAAGAATTTCAAGGAAAAGTGTTTAGTTAAACTTTAAATTTATGAAGTAAAAAAGTTTAAAAGTTCCCATTTGATAGTATTAACAAACCATAGACACATTAAATGTTATGCAAAAAATAACAATATGAATGATGATGCAAAAATAAAATAGTGCTCACTCCAACAACTTCAAGATGAATATATACGTAGTTTGACACGTCACATGCTATATTTGCATGCACAAACGACATGATTGAAAATTAACATATATGCAAACTTTTATCTCAATTTTGAAAGTTCAAAATAAATTTTTTTATAGATAAAAAAGATTAATAGAAATTTCGAATATTATCATATAGTTGAAGAAGAATTCTGGTATTTTTATTATTGGCTAAAATATGAAAATTTTCCTTGTATGTGCATCTTGATATGTCACATGTTAAGTCAACATGTACAAATAGTGTGATAAAAAATTAACAAAGAGAGTGAATTTTGTCCGATTTTTAAAAGTACAAGGAAAATTTTAAACACAAAAATGATATGGTGAAAATTTAAATATTTTCATATTATACAAGGTGATTTTTTGTGTCTCAGCCAAATAATACATGTCCGAAAACTATATGGTTAGAATATTACCATAATGAGATTATGATAACATGACATATTATATGTAAACATAGTTTGCAAAAACAATTTATAGAATTAATATGGCATGAACACAACTAAATCAAGAGAGACTAATATATGATATGTGTTTTTTTTTTGGAGGAAAGAGGTGAAGTGTTTGATCTAATTTGATATTTATTTAGTCTGTTCAATGAATAGATCACTAGATCAACTCAATAAATTGATTTTCATATGAAACTTTTACTATATGACAATAAGGGTCGTAAGTATATAGAATTATATTTTACACCCAATTTCATTGCAGATGACTTAATAATTATATTTTAATAATTAGATATGATTATTACTTTTATGTGAGTTAGTATAACTATTTACTAGATATAACTTGGAAAGTATCCAATCATATGAGTGATAGCTAAAAATTCATCCCTTATTGAAAGAGAGGTTGTACCTTATCAGTTGGATTTGACCATATAATTATTTTGTGAATAACTTCCCTAATGTTATCTATTCTTCTTAGCTTTCACACTGACTAGTAGACATTTTTGTAATAGTAGATAATTTTTTCCTCAATAAGCAAAAGAAAGCTACGAATATAATAAAGTTAAAGGAAGTCAAAAATTCAAAAAACAAGTTAGTCAAAAGTGATAATTCATTTGACGCTCTATTTCTCCGATTTTGTTCTTCCCTTTTCTTATAATCGAATAAATAAGTGATAATTAAAATGAACACTCAACATTTTAAATGTGTAGGTGGTCATCAGTTTTGAGAAATCAAATCAAATTAAATAAAATTAAAATTTGGCAACCCTCAAACTTTGAAATTGGAACTTGAGACTTAACCAAATAAGACTATTTTTTTTTTCTTTCTAAATTGTTTTCTTTAATTAAAAATAATTAACAAAATCAATAAAAAATAAATTAAACAATCAATGAATTCATTAAATTCATAATTAATAAAATCAATAAAACAATAATAAATTATTCAATATAAATCAATAATTAGAACGTTTTGGTTAAAAGATATATAAAAATAGAACACATACATACCTAGAAAATCAGAAAACCAATTGTAGAACACAAATCGCTCGTCCCAACACTTCAAAGTACCGTGAAAGGAAATTCAACGCATGAGGTTCCCTTGTATTCGATGGAGAAGGCTGTTTTGGCCATTTAAAACTGTTAAGATGAGAATCCACTATCAATAATCTGTATGAAAACACAGTCCTCTGGTTTCTGAAAACAAGTTAAGTTTTCTAGATGTTTTAAACTGTCAATAAAAGGTGTTTTCAATCCAAATAAAGCATTTATATACAAAGACAATGCTTCTTTTAGCTTTTTTCCATGAAAAATATTTTTTTCATTACCCATTTATATATAGAGTAGAGGGTAACAATTGGATCGGTGGACATGGAAAATTACATTTATATACAAAGTTGGAAGCAACACGACCTCGATTATCTTAACATTTTCTAGTTTATATTCTGAAATTTAATCATACTCCTCGGTCTTCATTCAGGTGGTAACATAGGCCATGGACCAGGCTTCTTTGGAAAGTTTTTCCATTAATCTGCAGCGTTTACACCTTCATTTTCTGCAAACCTAAGATGAAGAGAAGTTAAACTTCAGCTGGACTTCCAGTAATCAACATATCCTGAAGCTGCTTTTGGAGATGTGCTTTCATTTGGTAATTAACACAAATTGATTGAGTCAACTTTTCTTTCATGGCTAAAAGTTCGGCCTTGCTTGTTTCAGCAGCAGCTATCTCAAGATTATTCAAGGACCCATTACTACTTTGAAGTTTGGTTAACGTTGACTTGAGCTGAAAGGATGAACAAAATAAAGATTAATGAAACTTGTCAAAGAAACTAACATCATGCGATATCGAATGAACTTCATGATAATGTTGTTAAAAGGCAATAAACTTCACTTACAAAGAAAAAAAAGTAACAAACTTTAAATGACTTATTATGTATATAACTTTTGTAACGACCAGGAACTTAAAAGAAAATAAATTATAAATTAAATGCGGAAGTGAAATAATAAAGTTAGGGTTTACATTTCTTATACAATAATTTAGAATAACAAATAGAATTACAGAAATGACCATTTTAAAAGAATAAACGAAAAATCAAATAAATAAATGGAAAGTAAACAACTGGACATCTTATTTGCAATTCTCTTGTGGATCGGGATTTGGATCTTAATCATCTTGATCTAAAATGGTTAATGAAAGAGTGAGCTACACTAACCCAGTAAGAATGTCACACTATTCACCAATACAGAAATGATGGTTGGTAAAAATCATGAAAACAACAAATGAAACTCTTAATTTTAGTAAATTTATTTATCATAAATAAAATTATTTATTACATATTTACCGTAATGAGATTTTCAAAACCGACCTATAGAGACAATAACATAAACAATATCATAATCTCATTTTCAATTAGTCAGAACAACAACTTTTCATTTTTATCTACCTATTGATATACATGAGGGTCCATATGGATGTTCCCACTACGCGTAAACCTTTATTCAACATTATCAAGTAACCGGTTGTCCCCATACTCAGTCCGGTATGAGCGCCAAAAATACAATTCCTCAATACTTCGTCCGATATGAGGGTTAAACGGGCCGTCCCCATACCCTATCCGGTATGAGCGCCAAAAATACCATCCCTCAATACTTCATCCGATATGAGGGTAAAATGGGTCGTACCCATACCCCGTTCGGTATAAGCGCCAAAATACCAATCCTCGATACCTCGTCCGGTATGATGTGTTAGTTCACGGTAGAGTTCTCTATGTATCTGATCCGTCCACCATCTTTCAGGATATCCAGTAAGCCTACCATTCATTCATTCACTTAATCAAACAATTTTCCGTTTATATTTAATTTTCAGTTTCACAATTTAATTGTAAATCACGCAAAATAAGTAATACATGCATCAAAAAAACATAACTGAATCATCTTACCAATTATAATGTATTATTATTCATTTAAAACTGTAAGATTAAACAATCAATTAAAACAGGACAAATAGTAATAAATAATCGGTTCCCGCTCCATTAGCAACCTATAATTAATTATCAAAATTTTCTAAATTACACAAAATACTGTATTATTTATAATTGAACTTCAATTTCATAACAGAGAATAAGGTGATGGATTCTTATCAAAATTGGTGTCCGAAATACTAAACTTTCAACTGCACCTACTGGCGGTCCTTGGTTTTCCTGAATTTTTCTTTGAAGATTAAAACACGTTTCAAGTATTTAGAAATACCTCAAAAAAATCCAAAATTGGTATTAAAGACCTTTTCCGGCCAATTTCAGAATTCTAGCACGGCTGAACCGCTGTGTTTCGGAGACGGCATCGCCGCCCGCGACGA